TCAGACAAAGCAAGCAAGAAGAACGATGTTGTGATCTCAGCTGGGGTACAAGACTGAGTGAATCCTCGTCATCAACTAAAAGAAAACAAAAGGAACAATGTCGTGATCTCAGTTGGGGTATAAGACTGAGTGACTCCTCATCATCAACTAAAATAAAACAAAAGGAACGATGTTGTGATCTCAGTCAGGGTATAAGATTGAGTGACTCATCGTCATCAACTAAAAGAAAACAAAAGGAACAATGTCGTGATCTCTGTCGGGGTACAAGACTGAGTGACTCTTCATTCACCATAAAGCAAACATGTAAACACTGTTGCAAATCAAAGGTAACAACCAAATGATAAACATTAGAGGCAAAGTTATCAACCCTAAAATGAACCACAAATACCTAGTAAAGCAACCGACTTCACATTTAGAGATCACAACCATAAGTATATCAAGCATTAGGGTAACAACCCACATGTATCAATCATAAAGAACACAACCAACAGGTACCTTAAACATTAGGGTGATAACCCAAAAACTTATTAAACATTTACTCATGCACCAAGAAATTAAACTTAACTAAGTGATCATACAACCCAATCCTAAATCTAACTAGATTTGAGATCAAGCTCTACTTAATAAAGTAAACAATGCTAACAAGCAACACGTAACATGGTAATCATGCTAACAAGAAACCCTAAACCTTACTATATCTAAGTTAAAATATTACTTTACTAAGTAATGGTGTAAAGAAGCTAACCTAAGTCTTACTATACCTATGGTTCAAACATTACTTTACTAAGTAATGGTGTTAACAAGCTAACCTAATTCTTATTAGACTTAAGGTTCAAACATTACTTTACTAAACATTACTTTACTAAGTAATGGTGCTAACAAGCTAACCTAAGTCTTACTAGACCTAAGGTTCAAAATTACTTTACTAAGTAACAGTGCTAACAAGCTAACCTAAGTCTTACTGACATAAGGTTCAAACATTACTTTACTACGTAATGGTGCTAACAAGCTAACCTAAGTCTTACTAGACCTAAGGTTCAAATATTACTTTACTAAGTAATGGTGATAACAAGCTAACCCGAGTCTTATTAGACCTAAGGTTCAAAGATTACTTTACTAAGTAACCATGCTTACTAGCTAACCTAAGTCTTACTAGACCTAAGGTTCAAACAAGTATTGGTGCTAACAAGCTAACCTAAGTCTTACTAGACCTAAGGTTCAAATATTACTTTACAAAGTATTGGTGCTAACAAGCTAACCTAAGTCTTAATAGAACCAAGGTTCAAACATTACATTACTAAGTAATGGTACTAACAAGTTAGCCTAAGTCTTATTAGACCTAAGGTTTAAACATTACCTTACTAAGTAATGGTGCTAAAAAGCTAACCTAAGTCTTACTAGACCTAAGGTTCAAACATTACTTTACAAAGTATTGGTGCTAACAAGCTAACCAAAGTCTTACTAGATCTAAGGTCAAACATTACTTTACTAATTAATGGTGCTAATAATCTAACCTAAGTCTTACTAGACCTAAGGTTCAAAAATTACTTTACTAAGTAATGGTGCTAACAAGCTAACCTAAGTCTTACTAGACCTAAGGTTCAAACATTACTTTACAAAGTATTCATGCTAACAAGAAATCCTAAACCTAACGAGATTTAAGATAAAACAAATTACATAACAAAGTATCCAAAGCATAGCATCAATATCAACACTTAACCAAGTATCATACAAGCATGCCTCAAAGGTATTTAAGAAGGTACTTAAACAAGTGTCAAATAGTCACGTGATCAAACGATAGCACAAAGGTGACACTTAACCAAGTATTGAATAATCATGCATCAAAACTTTTGAGAAAATGATTAAACAAGTATGAAGTAATGAACACATTAAAGCTTATCAAGTAATCCCATCAAAGTATCATCAACATGTTATCAAACATGGTACAAGGGATGAGATTCTTCAAAGAAACACACATCCTCAAGAGAAAACATCATAACATGCAAGAAGAAGCATATATAACCCTAAGAGTTATCCCACTTAAACAAGTAGGACCTTAAGGCAAGCAAACAAACATTCACCACTTCACAAACCTTTTCAAGAAGGTACATCAGAAACCTCTAAATTGTTTCCCCTAACATGTATTAGGCCCAACTTTACCCTAACTAAGGTATCACAAGTTATGAAACAAAGAGATCAACTCAAATAAACAATTATACATGACAAGTATCACATAAGAGTAACAAATTCATAATTAGAACTTTAATCAAAATAAATAACCATTTGAAAGTCACAAGATGACAACCTAAGGCATAAATCAAACCTCAAGGATTACCTCACAAGGTATCATGTCATCACATGTATAACCATCAATAACAAATTAGAAGTGGAGATTTACCAACCAACAAAATAATTGCCAATTATCAAAGATAAACCCTAATTGTGTCTAAACATATCAAAGCAACAAGCATGTGCTAAAGTAACCACTTATAAACACCTACTCAAGCTCCTGGGGGTCATGCTCACAAGGTTTTAACCTTAAGATTTTGGAGCCTAAGCCAAACACTTAAACAAGTGCATAAGCAACTAGGGATTTAGGAGTTAACCACATATCCAAACTTTGCATACAAAGGTAATTCTCATTATTCAAGATAAAGATCGATGCAAATCAGAAGTTCAAACATAAAGTAACAAATTTTAATCATGTACCAAATATTTAGGGAATATCACAAAAGAATTTATCATGTATCATGTTAACAAACTAGCAATCATCAACAATTATTCCCTAAGAACAAAACAAGCAAGTTATAAAATCATTGCAAGATTAAGTCCTGGAATAATGGTGAGGCAATAACTTAGGCATAAAGTTTAGTTCTAAGCATGTCCTAAACTCACAAGAAGCTTCTACCAAAGATCATGCTCAACATTTAGGTTAAACAACCAACAATCACCTATCCATTGCATTTTCAAAGGAAACATCAAGCAAGGTAACCAAGTATTCAAGAAAATATGAAATTGAGATCTTAAATCATGGTGTAAGACTCTATTTTAAACGGACAAACCATACCAAAAGTTGTTGCATAAATGCATTCCCAAAACAATTTGATACCCAAAGTATACTTTAACAAATAAGCATGCATTGAGGCTTGATAAAAAAACAATTAGCATGTTATCAAACATCACCAAAAATACAATAAAACATCACACAAACCCTAAGCATTTAGGCCTCTAATCATTACAAAAAGAACGGTTTAAAAGAAGCTTAACCAAATCCTTAATCATAGGTCACAACCAAAGATATCCATCTAAACATAACTTCATAAATTTAATCAATTAAAATTAAAATTAAAATGAAAAAAAAAATTAAAATCATAAAAAATATCTCCAGACCTTGAGGAAGTTGAAATATATTTTGTGAATTTTTATGGTGAAGAAAAAGCTAAATTTTCAATTAAAATTTAAAAGGGTTAATACCTATTTTCACCCCTGACATATGGGGTGTATTTGAAAAATCCCCCTGCCAAAAAAAAGTTCCAATTGTTACCTTGACAAATTTTAAAAGTTTCAGTTTTTACCTTGAGGATGCCACATCACCTAAAAGACTGATGTGGCTTATATTTTTGTTACATTTGTAAGTTTTTGTTATGCCATGTCACACAATACCAAATAAAATGTCCAGAATGCCCTTTCTACATTTTTCTTAAAATCCCAAATTATTTGGCAAATGCTATGTTTCAATTCAGACCCTTCAAATTAGGGCGCAGCCATCTTCATCTCAGCAATCCAACTTTTGCTTTCCTCTTTATCTTTAAGTTTTCTTTGATTTCATAAACATGAGTCAACCAAATTGTTCTACTTCAAGCTTATCTTCAAATGGTAGAGTAACTCCCAAATGCGGCCACAATGTCTCCATGAAGTTATTTGTTTCAAAATCGGTTGCAAATCCCGGGAGAAAATACTGGAAGTGTAAGTTCTGGGGTAAAGGAGATGACTGCGACGCATTTGTTTGGGATGATGAATTTTCTGATGATTTCGGTGATAACGGCCATTCGGATGTAGTTTCAGTAGAACTGATGAGCAAACTGGAGAGAGATATCGCACTGAAGATGGAAGCCATGGAGAAAAAAATGGATGAGTTAAAAAAGAAGCTGAATTATGTTTTAGTTGGGTTTATTTGTCTTTTGGTTCATTTCTTACTTAGTTCATGTAAAAATTCATGAAGTTGTGGCTTATGTTCTAGGAAGTTGTAACCTATGTAAAATTTAGTTCATGAATTATATTTCTTTGTTATGGAATATGGAATATATTATTCTCATGAGTTTTGGTTAGTTGAGTTATGGAATATGGAATATATTTCTTTCTTATGGTTTCTTATGGAATATATTTGCTTAAGTCTGTTCTGATATATTGTTAAGTAAAACTGTTTTGGAATATTTTGGAAATCTGTTATGATATTTTGGAAATCTGTTCTTAAGCAATTCTGTTGAGTAATTCTGTTGTACAAAATCTGTTGTTAAGCAAATCTGTTGTTAAGTAATTCTGTTCTTAAGCAAATCTGTTGTACAAAATGACAATAACATAGTTAAGCCAATCTGTTGTGATACATAGTCAAGCAAATCTGTTGTACAAAATGACTTTAACATTGTTAAGCAAATCTGTTGTGATACATAGTCAAGCAAATCTGTTGTACAAAATGACTTTAACATTGTTAAGCAAATCTGTTGTGATACATAGTCAAGCAAATCTATTGTACAAAATGACTTTAACATTGTTAAGCAAATCTGTTGTGATACATAGTCAAGTACATCTATGATACAAAATGACTTTAACATTGTCAAGCAAATCTGTTGTGATACATAGTCAAGTACATTTGTGATACAAAATGACAATAACATGATACATAACTTAAGCCAAGCCTGTTCTGATAATAAGTCAAAGTAACAAAATGACACAGGAAACTTTCAAATTGAATTTTACAAAATAGCACACTATGTGCACAACTACTGATCAATGCCCTTCCTCTTCTTCCTTGATATCTTCTTTGAGGTACTACCACCAGTTTCTTCACCTATGGTCAAAGGTGCATCAGGTGTTGATCCAGGCCCACCATGTCTTTTGGCATTCCTCACTTCCTTCAATCTTTCACTGACTCTCTTTCTTGATCGCTTCCAAGGCACGGCCACGGCCTTTTTCCTAGCTGAAGGTTTTTTGACATTAGTAGCAGCAGGGTCAGGTTGCATCGCAGAAGGTTGTGAATCATGTGTTGGGGGAGGTTGCATTGCAGTAGGTTGTGATTTATGTGTTGGGGGAGGTTGCATAGCAATAGGTTGTGTGGGATTGTCAACTTGTGATGGTTGCTCTTCATAAAGATCCATCATATTATTCAGCAATGCATCCATCTCTGGGCCTTCATCCACAGTTCCACCTCCAGTTTTAGTTGTATCAACATTTGCATCCATCTCTGGGCCTTTATCCACAGTTCCACCTCCAATTGCAGTTGTATCAACATTTGCATCCATCTCTGGGTCTTCATCCACAATTCCACCTCCAGTTGCAGTTGTATCAACATTTGCATCCATCTCTGGGTCTTCATCCACAGTTCCACCTCCAGTTGCAGTTGTATCAACATTTGCATCCATCTCTGGGTCTTCATCCACAGTTCCACCTCCAGTTGCAGTTGTATCAACATTTGCATCCATCTCTGGGCCTTCATCCACAGTCCCATCAGATTTTTTTGACACTTTGGTCCTGGGTGTCTTTCTCTGCATTATTCAGAAACAAATATAAATAAAGACATTTCAATATGTTGAACACAATATTATTCAGTAACAGATTCATGAACACAATACCTTTCTCTTTAGTGCATTAGGATCTTGCTCCTTAGCTTGACACTTCCTAGAATTATGGCCAAATTTGTCACAATGCGTGCATCTATATGATACACCTACCCTCCTCATCCTTGAACCATTCTCATCCAACTCTCTAAACCTCAGTTTCTTAGGCCTTCCAGGTCCCTTCTTGTATTGTGGTGGCAACAATTCTTCAGCATCCACAGTTGGCCACATGTCCATGCCATTTATTGGACTAACATTGTTTTCATAACATGCCCTGTAAGCTTCTCTCATGTAACAAGGGTCAACATATTTCTCAGGATCTAAGTTTTGATACTGTAATGCAGAAACAACATGCCTACAAGGTATGCCCACAAGATCCCAAAAACAACAAGTACAGGTTTTTTTCCCAATATCAACAACAAACTGCAATCCATTATATGGGTTATGGACTTGCCACAAATCACCACTGCTCCATGTAGGCAGCCATTCTCCACTAAGATATGTTTCCTTATCAAGCCTTTTCCTAGGATTAGGCATGACATTATGCTTCCACTTATCAAGCTTAACAACACTATTAGCAATCCTATTCATCACGCAGTTCCTAATCCATTCTACCATAGTGAGTATTGGCTTATCCCTAGCTTGTAATATTGTACTATTGAAAGATTCACTCAAGTTATTCATGAAAACATCACACTTAGGGTAAAATGAAAATGAATGCTTACACCATAGTTTTGTTGGCACTCCCATCAGCCATTCCCATGCCTTCTTATCAATTTGTTTAAGCTGATTCATCTTCTTCTCCCAAGCCTGGAAGTAAGTAGCCTTTGCAGCCCCCAATAACAGGTCTCTAATGGCAGCTCCCCCTCCAAATTTCTTCTTGAAATTTGCATACAGGTGTCTGAGGCAGACCCTGTGTTCAACTTGCTGATGCATTTCCTCAAAGACACTAACAAGTCCCTAAAAACAGCAAGACAACAGAAAAAAGCATGTACATTAGCAACTTATATATTCCTCATAAATGTTGAACATTAGCAACAGAACAAGGCATGTAACATTAGCAGCAGGTTCTGATAAATGTTGAACATTAGCACCAAAATTAAGTAGTGCATATAGGGAAATAAACCAGAAATTAGTGCACTTTGTATAAACCAGAATTAGTGCACTTTGTATAAACCAGAACTATGTCACAAAGGTAATAGTGCATATTAGTGCATAATTAGACATACTTCAGTACCAGAATTAAGACATACTACAGTAGCAGAATTAGTGCATATTAGTGCAGAATTAGTGCATGTTTCATAAATGTGAATAACAAAGGTAATTAGTGCATATTTGTACCTTTTGTTGGTCTGAAATAAAAACATACTTTCTCTCTTCTCCAATGTCTTCCATTAGCAATTGCATAAACCATCTCCAGCTTTCTTTTGTCTCAGTCTCTACCACACCAAATGCCAAAGGATAATATTGGTCATTCGGGTCCCTTGCTACAACAATTAACAACTGACCTCCATATTGTGTCTTAAGATGACATCCATCTACCCCTATAAATGGTCTACAACCCTTGGTAAACCCTTTCTTGCATCCATCAAAACAGAAGTAAAATCTACCAAATCTTAGTGCTAGTGTTGGATGTGGTCTCTTAGTATTTAGTTTGACAGTGTTCCCAGCATAATGTTTTCTCAACTCAGCTGCATATCTCCATAACATGTTATATTGTTCCTTTGCATCACCTTCAATTATTTCTTCAGCCATAGCTTTGGCTCTCCAAGCTTTCCCTTTGGTAATGCCCACTGAATATTTCTGTCTAAGCTCAGACATAATTTCAGACAGTTTAACTTTCCCTTGTGACTTCCTCTTTTCAACCACTAACTTAGAGACCCACTTGGAATTGGCAGACTTGTTATTTAATACCCTTGCACATGTGTGGGTCCCCACCCAAGTCTTTATCTGGTAAGTGAGGCTACCTCCCACTTTGCTACACAGTGCAAAAAAACCCACATTTACTCTTACACTCAACCCTAACCCTACAACTCTCATTCTTAACAAACCTTATTTCTCTACCATTTAATACTGACCAATCCCTGATAGCATCTTTAAATTCAGAAAGAGAAATAAACTCCATACCTAATTTGAATTGAAAGTCTTTGTTAAGCAGCTCTGATCTGAACTTCTCATACTTTGGCTTGGAAGGTTTGTCATCCATGTCACTTTCATCAGCATCTGAACTTTCAAGTTCCTCACTAGCATAATCCACATCTTCACATTTCCTTGTAGCCCTCTTTGAACAAGATCCTAAGACACTTTTGGGCACCAAAACACTGACCTTGTCCCTTTTGCTCTTTTCTTTCATCTTTTTGGGATCCTTGGATGCACAACGCTTGAATCTAAATGATTTCCCTTCGATCTCCACCCTATTCCCACTAACTGGAACAGCTACCTCCACTTGTTCAAATTGCTCTTCTTCTACGTCAATTACTCTTTCCTCTTCACTGTCATTGAAACATTGGCTTGCATCAACATAGTCACCAGTACTATCATCTCCACTAGAGGTGCTGAAGTCATCAACATTAGGTACCAGAACCTTGGTCATCACGTCTTCTACACCGTGCTCTACCCAAAGATCGTCGTGAACCCTACAAGACATACAATGCTTAGCAACTTCTACAGCTCCTGCATCATCAACAATATTTGTAAACCCTTCATCCGTTTGCAGAATCTTTCTCCATAGCCTAAAACCTTCATAACCCCAATCTTTAACCAGACTAACAGCTTCAAAAAAGCTCCATTTATCTTCGTCCTGACCTTCAACAGTAGTCTCACTACCTCCTCTATAATACGTATGGCCGTCTTGCACGAAACTTCCCCCATGATGAAACACTAAATTAAACACACCCATTTGCAAGGATGAAGAACCCTAATCGCAGGGTCTGAATTGAAACTGGCTTTTTTTGTAAAATAATTTTGCAAACAAATGAAGATGGATGGCTGCGCCCTAATTTGGAGGGTCTGAATTGAAACATAACATTTGCCAAATAATTTGGGATTTTAAGAAAAGGGCATTCTGGACATTTTATTTAGTATTGTGTGACATGGCATAATAAAAACTTACAAATGTAACAAAAATATAAGCCACATCAGCCTTTTAGGTGATGTGACATCCTCAAGATAAAAACTGAAACTTTTAAAATTTGTCAAGGTAACAATTGGAACTTTTTTTTTGGTAGGGGAATTTTTCAAATACACCCCATATGTCAGGGGTGAAAATAGGTATTAACCCAATTTAAAATGTATCAAAAATTTGTTACTACAAAAACACGGGATTGTAAACCAAATCTTTCAAATGAACTACACACAGTTATACACTTATAAGTGCAACAACATGGGGGTGTGAATAAGAAAAAAGCCTATGTCCAGGTCCATTTCACTCATTAAGTCCAAACAAAATAAATAACCATTTATTACTTTCTTTTTATTCATTTATTACTCATTTTATTATTCTGATTAATGTTATCCAACAATGCAAATAATAAAATGAACAATTAACAACAAACGCGATGCCCAATGGAAAATTGACACCTCACGTGTCCACATTCAAACTTACACCATGCAGCGACGCTGGAGCTAGGGCTCCGGTCGTCTTCTCCGTTGATGCGCCGTCGTCTCCAACAGTCCCTTCTTACAAAAATAAAAAACAACAACACGTACTGGCTCTATTTTTCGTGTAGATTTCAAATCTACCTCTATTTTTAACCAAAACTCATTCAAACATAGTGAAAACTGGGCAAGAACATGAACACGTAAAACTGAAATTCAAAGCATCATCACATATTTGAACCTAAACCATTGCCTACATAGAGTAGGACTTCAGATGCACATGAATGCCCCTAAACATGGCGTGAAACTAGCATGATAAGAAGATGACAAGTTTGCGAAAATTATACCAAGCAGAGCGTGTCCGTCGCACCTTGAAACTTCTTGAAACGATGAGATAACTCTAACACGTGCTTCAAAGCTCTTGAAGAAGATGAATAAAAGCTCGAGAATCTTCAAATCCTTACGTAATTTCAGATCCGAATCTGGCCAAATGAGAATGAAGACGGTGATGTAGCTGAGGATTCATGGATCTCAGAGCAGAACCAATGCACACTGTAACTTCTCTTCAATGTGAGGATGAAGAAGATGAAGGAATCTTCGTGAATCCTCGAGAGATGAGAGAGAATCTCTAGCTTGAAGATGAGAGTGTGAGAGAGTTTTTTGGATCGGTTTCTCTTTGAAGTTTGCTACCACCTCTAACTGAATGTGTAACCATTTTTGCAACCGAATGATGAGAAGCTCTTTTATAGGGTGGTGGGCGCGTGGTTGTTTAAGAGTTTATCTTGAATCCAAGAGAGTGAGTGTCAAATATTTTTCACTGGGTATGTTGTTATTGGTGTTGATCTTTGAATGAGTATAAGGAGAGTGGGAGAATAGAGAGTGAGGAAAGAGTGTGAGCTGGAATCATACTTAGTCCACAAGTTGAATAGAATATTCTATTTTGGTACACTTTCAATTTTATGCATGCATGATAGGAATTGTTTGGCCAAAAGTGGTAATTGGTGTGTGATGTGCGTGTAATGCAGCTCATGCTGCTTCACCAACTCAATCAAATGCTTAATGATGTATACCTTAACTAATATAACAACACTGGCTCATGGCCATGTAGCCATCTTCTCAAGTCCATAAATGGATGCATGGTGCTTCAATTCTTGCAATCTTGGTAGCATGTTAAAGAAGAGATGGAGAAGAACATCTTTCATGTTGGAGATATCTTGGAATTTGGGCTGGATCATTACGAAATTTGTCATTGAAAATACACCGCCCAAAATGAGTTAACACTTATAAAAATTACAAGTGTATTAATCAAATTGACAACTTCAAGTTCATGACTTCTTAACCTTCTAACATTATGATCAATGACCCAAATGCTGACTTCTTGGGATCATGATCAAGAGTACACTTGATAGAACAATGTTGGTATGGAACACCATTTGAGAAATTGCTTGCAAGCTCATGAAAATTAGTCTTGAAGTCATGGATCATAAGCTAGCTTAATCACTTGAAATTTTTTTGAGTGTTGGTGAAATCGCCTATTACATCACCCACTTCTACCCATCATATCTCTTGATCTATTGACCATCTCAACTAAATTCCTTCTACAAACTTGTAGTAAGGAGTATCTTCTTCAATTTAAACCCATTTTTGCACAAATTCACTTATTGATGGGAAAGATATAGCTCTTGCAATATGACTATATGAACATGATTTTCCACACTTCGAAATTTTCCTAAAACCCTAACTTCACCTTATTTACGATTTTATTGATTTCTCTTTATTAACCTTGATCAATCCTCATATTTTCATGGAAAATGACTTAAGAGGGCCTGATTTGACCAAAATATCAAGGTTTAATTTTCAAATTTGACAGATGATTGATTTTCTCTCAATGCCATCAATTCTCCTTCTTCCACCAATTTGAATCTTTTGAACTGCTTTAGGGTGATCAATAAGGTCCATATGGATGTCTTGGAGTTTATGTTGAACCAACGAGTCATATTACTCAAGAAATCGATCACATATTGACTTTGAATGAAACCCTAGCTCAGAGTCAATTGGATAAGAGTTTGTGATCAACTTCACTCCTTTGAAACCCTCGTCACCTGATGAACTTGTGATCTCCTTGAGACACTTTGAAGAAAGTAAAAACCTTGTGACTTAAGAACACTATGATGTTGAGGATCTCTCATCCTCCCACTTCTTTAATCATTATCCCAATCTCTTTGACTGAAGAAAGTCAACAACACAAGATACCTTGATCTCATAACCATATAACCAATGTAATCACTACGCCAAATAAGACTTTAGACAGCACTTTTTTGGCTTTAGACAGTGTTTTAAAGCGCTGTCTATTCCAGCGCTGCTGTAGGAAAAGACAGTGCTTTGTTAAAAGTAAAAGCGTTGGCTAAAAGGGGCCTTTTAGCAGCGCTTTTACCTTTAAAGTGTTGGCTAAATGGGGCCTTTAGCAGCGCTTTTACTTTTAAAGCGCTACTAAAGACCCCCCTTTAGCCAGTGCTTTAAAGGTAAAAGCGCTGCTAAAGGCCCCCTTTAACCAGAGCTTTAAAGGTAAAAGCGTTGTCTATTCCAGCGCTGTTGTAGGAAAAGACAGTGCTTTGTTAAAAGTAAAAATACTGACTAAAAGGGGCCTTTAGCAGTACTTTTACCTTTAAAGCGCTGGCTAAAGCGGGTCTTTAGCAGCGCTTTTACTTTTAAAGCGCTGCTAAAGACCCGCTTTAGCCAGCGCTTTAAAGGTAAAAGCGTTGCTAAAGGCCCCCTTTAGCCAGCGCTTTTTCTGAAACAAATTTTTTATAAAAAAAAAACCCTTTTAGACAACACTTTTAATGTTAAAGCACTGTCTAAAGCCCCCTTTAGGCAGCACTTTTTTTTAAAGCGCTGCTAAAGGCCCCCTTTAGCCAACGCTTTTTCTGAAACAATTTTTTTTTTAAAAAAAGACCCCATTTAGATAACGTTTTTTAAAGCGCTGTCTAATGGCAACGAAATTTTTTATATAATCTTTTTGAAAAAAAAGCGCTGTTTGATATATACAATTTTGTATGCACAAATTTTAACCATATTTGCACCAGGTTTTCACCATATTTTGCACCTATATATACCATTATAAATTTCGCCAGATTTTCACTAATATTAGAGTTTTAATCCAATAAAAAATAATACAAAAGATACTATGATACTTTTACAAATTACATATTACCCTAAACCATTACAAATTACTATGATACTATGATACAAATACATACCAAAGATACTATGATACTTGTATATACCATTACAAATTACAAATTTGCACCTGTATATACTTTTACAAAAAAACAACACCATTATATACCATTACAAAATCTATTCATCTCTATCTTCTACATATACACATATAACCTGAAACAACACCAAAATATCGTAATTCATACCATGATACAAACAAAATATATATCATTTACCACATGACAAATAACAACAAAATTGCAACACTTGAATATATATACTCAAAATTATCAATAATTAAAGTAAGATTACAATATACCTTATATAACTTTCGTCTCAATAATGTATTGACACAAATCCTCCTTAAGTTCATCCAACTGAGAACTTGAGTAATAAGCACACTTGAATTCATCAAAGTACTACATAATAATATAACATAGTATGTTTAAGTTAAAACTATTTAATTATATGAGAAATGTGTGTTAAATATTAAAATAACTCCTAAGTTAGAAATCCATACCTTAGATGGATTCTCTATTCGATCCAAAAGAAGGATTTCTCTCATAAACCTCAACGTGTAAAAACCGCAATCTACTTCATTACGCTGCCGAGGACACTACATATGCAAAGAAAATATGGATAAGGCCTAAGTTTTATCAAGTATCATCACTATTAATATAATCAAATTTGTGATAATTAATTAATACACCTCCACTATAATCCATGTAATGTTGTTGGATTTACTCTTTGGTACTTGAACACCTCTTTGTGCTCGAAAAACTTGTATAATGCTAATAAAACATAAATGCATATTTAGAACATTTCACATAAATAAATAAATAAATAAATAAATAAATAAATAAATATACACACAAATATTTAGAATAATCTCACGTACGTATCAACCATATTCTTCATATCTTGGTGTATATACTTGGATCATTGCGTAAAGAATCCAGATAATATACAACTTCTCTGATAGGATTAATCGCGACCAACAACAAATGTCCACTGTAAGATTAAACAAATGTGAGATGAGAACTTTCTACATAACGTCAAAATATAAAAAATTATAATAGATGA